ACAATAAAAGGTCAGAGGCTGTAAATTCTGCAGTCAGTAACTCACCTTCTGACTCTCACCATCTACAAGATATAAGTCCTAAATGTGACGAATTATTCTCTACTTGTACGGGTGATTGTAAATCTAACAACACTCAAAAAGCTCAATACCATACAGGACAAAGCAGCCTAATCGAATGACACCCCATCCGGTACCTTCTACATTTACTCCCTCCACCACCAAAGCACAGGTGACAGGAATGTGCACCATTCACAAATCCACTGTAGTAACAAGTCTCCTTCAACAGCACTTTCCAGCTCCACATTCTCTTCCATCTAGAAGGACAAGTGCAGCAGATGTATAGGAACAGCATCACTTGCAGGTTTTCCTCCAAGTAACTCACTATCCTGTCTTGGGAATACATCACCATCTCTTAAGTGTCACAGAGTCAAAACCCTGGAACTTCCTCCCCAATAGCCACATGGACTTCTGTGATTGCAGAAGGCAGCTCACTGCCACCTTATCCAATTCAGGATGGGAGATAATACCTGTCCTAGCCAGCGATGCCCAGATCCTATAAATGATCATTTTGTTTTAAAACAGCGAGTTGTAATTTGCCAGTGAATGCTTACAAAATGTTCAAAATGGAAGATACATTGAGAAAGTTGGTTAAAATAAATTGGATTCTTATCTGAAAGGGTAATGGAAGTAGCAACAATATTAACTTTCAAAAAAAGTGGATAAGTGTATGAAAAGAAGAAACCTACAATGATGTTGGAAAAAAGCAGGGTTGTGTTTTTTTCAAAGAGTAGGAATAAGCAGCACTCGTCTGTAAAGAGTTTTCAATATGCTGCAGTTTATACACAGAGACCTCCTCCACACCTGGTTGAGCCTACAGGCCCTATTGAATAGTCAAGACTAGAGCTGTCTCTTCCTGGAAACTCCATGGTACAGTCTTTGGGGTAATGGTTGTTCATGTTTTCATCAGCAGGTTACGAACATTCACAATGGTCAGCTGCCTGTCCCTTGTAATGGATGATGGTCAGTTTTCAGTCAGTCGGATTTCTTCAGCATTAGTAATCAAATTAGTGTAGATGTATGTGGTTTAACACAGTACTTCACAGCCTTGCCTCAGCTTGCAAAATTCTTCCCTCTGAATCACAAGGTTCCAAGTTCAAATCCCACTCCAGGGCTTGAACACCAATATGGCAAAGGAGTGGAGCATTGATGGAAGTGTCACCTTTTGAATGAGCTTGTTTTGTCTGGATGTAAAAGCACTACTTTCAACAAAAGCAGATGTTTCCTCTAATATTTATACCCCATTTAACATCACAAAAACAGATTCTGATGATTATCACATGGTTGTTTGCAGGAGCATGCTGTGCACAGATTAGCTGCCACATTTCCTATATTCCATCACTGACTGCGCACCAAAAATAATCCATTTGCAGAAAAGCACTTTAGATGGCTGTAAAAGGAGCCATTGAAGTCTTGCGTCTATTTCTTGTGGGATTTAGCATGGTTAGGGTTCAATGGTAAATTTTTTGAAAGACGAGAACATTGACTGTTTGCATTCTAGCTCTCTTGACAAGATCTGATACATTGCTGCAGAGGTGTGCAATTGAACAGTGCTGTGTGCTGGGCTAACAATCTCAGTTTGTTGGTTGGTCTTCAAAGAGACCATTGATCTGCATGCTGGATTTTTTTATGTTTTCAGACCAGGAGACCACTTTGGGCAGTTGGATGTGGCTGAGATGCAGAAATCCAGCATGACAGATCAAACCAGAGATGGCAGTTAGGGCAGTGCTGTGCTCCTCCTGCCAAATGTGGGAGATCAGGGAGCAGTCTAGTGTCCTTGATGACAATGTCTCCAGGCAGTGCGACCAGACGCAGCTCCTCACAGATTGCATGGTTTGGCTGGAGTGTCAGTTGGACAAACTGAGGAGCATACAGGGTGCAGAGAGTGTGACAGACACTAGTTACAGGGAGGTGGTCACACTGCAGGTTCGATCAGGTAAATGGGTAACCGCAAGGAGAGGCGGGCAGGAAGTGCAGGAGTCTCCTGTGGCTATTCCCCTCTCTAACAGGTATTCAGTCTTGGATACTATTGGGGTGACAGTCTCTGAGGGGAGTATAACAGCAGCAGCCAGGCCTGTGGCACCACAACTCACTCTGTTCTAGACCAGGGCCAAGGGAGCAAAGTCCAAGGGAGCAATAGTGGTAGGAATCTAACTAGTTAGGGGTACAGACAGGCGTTTCCGTGGCTGCGTTCGAGGGCCCAGGATGGTGTGTTCCCTCCTAGGTGCCAGGGTCAAGGACTTCTCTGAGCAGTTGCGTGAAATTCTTAAGGGGCAGGGTGAGTAGCCAGAGGTAATTGTGCACATTGGTATCAATGACATGGGTAGAAACAGGGATGAGGTCCTGCGGAGTGAGTACAGGGAGTTAGGAAAGAAGCTGAAAAGCAGGACCTCAAGGGTAGTAATCTCTGGATTCCTACCAGTGCCACATGCTAGTGAGGCAAGGAATAGAAAGATAGGACAGGTAAATGCTTGGCTAAGGAGCTGGTGTAGGGGACAGGGTTTCAGGCTCTTGGATCGTTCAGACCTCTTCTGGGGCAGGTTGCACCTAACTGGAGGGGAAGAAATATCTTCTCAGGAAGGTTTAAACTAGACTGGTAGGGGGGCTGGGGACAAGAGTCAGCAAGTGGAGGGATTGAAGAGATGGTAGATGTCAGTTCCAGTAAGTCTAAAAGGAAAGACAGGCAGACACAGATAAATGAACACAATAGGTCTGATGGGCTGTAGCGTGTTTATTTCAACACAAGGAGTATTATGGGTAAGGCAGATGAGTTTAGAATCTGGATCAGTACATGGGCCTATGATGTGGTGGCTATTACAGACACTTAGTTGAAAGAGGGTCAGGACTGGCTGCTCCATGTTCCAGGGTTTGGTTGTTTTAGATGAGACAGAGGGAGGTACAAGAGGTGGACGAGTTGCATTACTAATCAGGGAGAATGTTGGATCTGCACTCAGACAGGACATACTGGAGGGCTCATTCACTGAGGCAATATGGGTACAGCTCAAAAATAAGATGGGTGCAATCATTCTGATAGGGTTATACCATAGGCCCTCCAACAGCCACCTAGACTCAGGAACAAATGTGAAGGCAGATTATGGAAAGATGCAATAAAAACAGAGTTGTCATAGTGGGTGACTTTAACTTCCCAATATTGACTGGGACTTTCTTACAACAAGGGGCCCAGATGGGACAGAATTTGTTAAGTGCGTCCAAGAAGGGTTCTTGAAACAGTGTGTGGATGGTCCAACTGGAGGAGGGACCATATTAGACCTTGTATTGGCTGATAAGCCTGGTCAGATGACTGACTTTTCAGTGGGAGAGCATTTTGGAAACTGTGATCACAACTCCTTAAGTTTTAAGATAGCTATAAATAAGCATAAGGCAGGACCTTGCGAGAAGGCACTAAATTGGGGGACAGCAAATTAGGGTAGGAGCTAGGGAGTGTTAGTTGTGAGCAGCTGTTATCAGGCAAGTCCATGTTTGACATGTGGCAATTGTTTAAAGAGCAACTAATCAGAGTTCAGGACCAACATGTTCCAGTAAGGAGGAAGGACAAGGATGGCAAGGTAATGAACCCTTGGACAATGATGAAGGTTGTGAATTTAGTCAAAAGGGCAAAAGAAACATATGTAAGGTTTAGGAAGCTAAAATTAGACAGGGCCAGAGAAGAATATAAACAAAACCGCAGGAAAGAACTCAAGCAGGGAATTAGGAGAGCAAGGAGGGGCCATGAAATGACCTTAGCAAGTAGGGTTAAAGAGAATCTATACTACATTCTATACATACATTAGAAACAAGAGGATAGGACCAGTCAAGGATAAAGGAGGGAATTGTGCTTGGAGGCAGTGGATGGCATAGAAGGTTATCAAAGGATACAGAGATATATAGATCAGTTGTAGATATGGGCGAAGAAGTACAGATGGGATTTAAGCATGAGGTGCTGCATTTTGGGAGATCAAGTGTTAAGGAATAGTGTACAGTTAATGGCAGGATCCTGAACAGCATTGATGTACCGAGGGATCTTGGGTTTCAAGTCCATAGTTCCCTGAAAGTGGCCACACAAGCAGACAGGGAGGTAAAGAAGGCGTATGGCATGCTTGCCTTTATTAGTCAGGGCACTTAGCAGAAGAGTCAGAATGTCATGTTGCAACTTTATAGGACTTCAGTTAGGCCACACTTATGGTATTGTGTTCCAATTCTGGCTGTTACATTACAGAAAGGATATGGAGGCTTTGGAGAGGGTGCAGAAGAAGTTTACCAGGATGTTGCCTGGATTAGAGGGAATCAGCTATAAGGAGAGGCTAGAAAAACTAGGATTGTTTTCTATGCAGTGGGTGAGGCTGAAGGGAGACTTGATAGAAGTCTATAAAATTATGAGATGCATAGCTAGGGTTGATGGTCAGAATCTTTTTCCCTCAGAATTGAAATGTCTAATGCTAGGAGGTGTGCATTTAAGGTGAGAAGGAGAAAGTTCAAAAGAGATGCAAGCAGCAAGTTTTTTAACACAGAAAGTGGTAGGTGTCTGGAATGGACTGCCAGGGGTGGTGGTGGAAGTAGATACAATAGAAAGGGCTTTTAGATAAGCACATGAATATGCACAGAAGGGAGTGACACTGACCAAGGGCAGGCAGAAGGGATTAGATTATTTTAGGCATCATGTTCGGCACAATATTGTGGGCCAAAGGGCTGTTCCTGTGCTATGCTGTGCTGTACTGTACTGTGTTCTAAACTAGCCCACCTCTTGGTCACCTTGCTTGCATAAACCTAAGATCAAAGTCTTATGGGTTGCATTGATCACTTCAGAGTCACAAGTGAAGGCCAACATTGTCCGAAATCAATATGCTTCTGCTTGAGTGCACCAAGAGACCCCATTAAAGAACAAAAAACTAACAAAAACACAGGCAAAGCAAAGATTCCTAACAACTGTGCATAGATCAGCCTACCGGTTGTAGTCTTCGCTTCTCAACATGTTTCCTCAGCATTATCTTCAAATCATCATCTCCCAGTTCAGGTTTACCTGGAACATGTAAAATCAAAACGTATTTTCTCTTACCTGAACATTGGTTTCATTTCTGGGCGGAGGGGGGCCTGGTGGAAGTAGGGTGGCGCAGTGTTTCAGGGAGGATAGTAGCACCTTGAATATGGTACAGTGCCTGGGGGAAGAGGGGCCGGAGACTAGGCGCCTGGTTTATAGGAGAAAGGGTTGGGGGAGAGAGAAGAGACACTTTTCAGTGATCTGCATAATTCTGGGATAGCTGAGGTATCCTCTGTATATAGTCGATGAGCCCCAAGAAGGAATTTCAAATTCACAATTATTAGCATGATGTGAAATTCAATTGATGCGGATGTATTTAAGCTCCTGGCTTGTCTGCTTCTTACCACCAGGCCTGCCACATCCTTCTTTTTTTCTCTCCTTATTTAACATTTCATTTCCAACATCAAGTTTTGGGTGAGGAAGGAGGATCTGAGAGCCGCTGCAGCAGAGAATGCAGTGTGAATCCGATCATTCTTCATGGCTGCGTTAGTGGCAGATAAAGACGAGGTGTGTCCGGACCCAGGACTCCAATGACCCAAGTTTCCTTGAGGATTCTGCAGTGTCTTCACAGCAGCATGGTTGCTCTGGTCCAGCCTGGAATTCCTTGAGGTGCTTTCAGCAGCACCATGTGTCTCCTTTCAGCAGCTTCGGCATGAGCCTGGGACTCCTTTTAGTGGCTGTTTCTGTTGGCATTGTGCTGGGTCTCCTTGTGGCAGTTCCAGTCGTCTGTGACTCCATTTGAGGTTTTCTTTGGCACCGTGGTGGGTCCAGCCCGGGATACCAGGTTTTTTAATTGTAGGGGTGTGGAGGGCAGTATCAGGTCCTTGACACCAGAACTGTGAAATGGACTAAGTGGGCTTTGTCTTAAATTCATTTTATTACTTTGTATTTTATCGTTATGTTATCGTGGAAGGAATGTTATTCTGAACTTTTTTTTTATTTTTCTAATTTATTACTCTGATCTTGTACTTTTGAAGATCTGTAATGATGGACTTTTTATTTCTTTATTTTTCAAATTTTTTTTTTCCTAAGAATTTATACTCCAGAATCTGTACCTTGGTAACTTTGTACCTTGGTGCGGTAAGTGGTGACTTTTTCACCGTACTCACGTGTGCATGACAATAAAGCTAATTCAATTCAAATTCAAACTGTATTTGGCTCTCCGGTGCAGACTGACTCTCACCAGCTGACAAGGAATAGCTCTCTTACACTTGAAAGTCCCCAGCTCTAGAAAGCACCACGTTGAGTAAGAGGCACTGGAGCAAAGAGATGTAAGAACCAAGGTTCAGTGGCTGGTTTAGCATTAAAGAGATAGCAGGGTTACACTTACTGACTGTCTTCATGTCCTGCGTGGAAAGGGTGGGTACAACTCGTAGCGCCACACTGGGACTCATGGGGTGGGTTGGAGAACCTGGAAGCCAGGAACACATCTCTATAATAGAGAGAAACATGATTTACCAGCAGACCAAGAGAACAGGACAATCTGCTAGATTACAAATTTCTGACTTTTTTAAAAAAATATTTCACATGATAAAGAGCACGTTAGTTATGTTGGCATTTAATGCCTATCTTAAAACAAAAATGGAACAACATTAAGTGGGTAGCATGGTGGCACAGTAGTTTAGTGCTGTTACCTCTCAGCACCAGGGGGTAGGGTTCAATTCCAGTCTAGGGTGACTGCGTGGAGTTCCCGTTCTCCCCATGTCTGCGGGGGTTTCCATCAGCTGCTCCGGTTCCCTCCCACAGTCCAATAATGTGCACACTGGATGGACTGGCCATGCTAAATCGCCCCGCAGTGAGCAGGGATGAGTGGACTGGATGGTTAGCCATGAGAATTGTCAGATTACAGGGATAGTTCGGGATGCTCTCGGTGGCTTGGTGCAGACTTGATGGGCTGAATGGCCTCTTTCTGCCCTGTCGGAATTCTTTGATACAATTCTATGAAATGGATCAATTGCTGGTGGCGCCAGGGGTGTGCGTGTGCATGTGGGTGGTGAGGGAGTATCACCACTGGGCATGAGAGCAGAGGGGTACCAACAGACCATAATCACTTGGAAGGTTAACTTTAAGGATTGACCTGCATGTAAAGGTTGTGGTACTGGATCAAAATTTTTTTGATATTTTCTTGAGGGTTCTATTTTTTTTTCAGGGTTTCTTTAAGTCTCAAGGTTTGTGTGAGAAACTGAACTGTTCTTAAGGCAGTAACGTACAATCTCACTCCATTGATGATATCACAGAAACAAAAAGACTTGGTGCTGGGAAGGTAGCCAAGAATCCAACAATTAAACAGTTTTCTTCAATTCACCTTCCCCCACCCTCTATCCCTCTTCTAAAGGCCGATCTCAAAACAAACTCAAAGCCTGGAAGGTCAGGTCCTTCTCGATCGACTGGATCCCTGATCTCAAAAGTTTTTAAAGAGAAAATCACACACATGGGCAATAAAAGAATCCTTGTACACAGGCAAGGAGATTAAAAAGGATTTCTGCCATTGTTTTTTCTGACTCCACGCCAAATCTCTACTTTAAAAACTTTCCTCATAAAATAATTTATTGGACAAACATAAAGGGGGAAGAAAGCCATTGGAAAGGATTTAATTTTTTTCTTTTGGCTATTATTATTCTTAAAAGACAGGCCTGAATGACTGATTTACAAGAAAGTAATAAGGATATTTTGAATAAAGTTCGTAAATCTTTTCCATAAATAACCAAACTGGAAGTGTGAAAGGGAGTATCATTACTGGCTGTTCCTTCACGTTCAACCTGAGGGGCCTCCTTCTCTCCTGCATCCCTCTCTCTCTTCCTCTTTTTGTTTTACATTGAAATTGGAGGGTTAAACGTAGAACAGTACAGCAAAGGAACTGACCGTTTGGCCCACCATGTCTGTGCCGACCATGAACCCATGCTAAACAAATCCCACCTGCCTGTACAAAGTCTGTAGCCCTCTATTGCCTGGCTGTTCAAATGACTGTCTAAATGTCTCTTAAACATTGCTAACGTAGTTGTTGTAATCAGGAGAGGCCTTGGGGATGATGGATGGCTGCTTGTTCATAAATAATTAACCAAACCTTAGCTTTATGAAAGATTTCGCATAACTAAATCAGTTTTTGCACTCAATTCCTCTATTTATAAACCTCAAAATTCCATTTGCTTTTGCTTTCCACAGCCTCTATGGCCTGATATCTTCAAAGTTCAATTCAAATGAAACCCTAGGTCCCATTATTCCTACACACTACTTACAATTGTGCCATTGAGACAATACTGCCTCTCCCTCAGTCTCTGGCCAAAAGGCATCACCCTACACCTTTCCGTAATAAACTCTATTGGTCACTTGTCAGCCCATTCCCCCAAACTCTATGTCCTGATGTAGTCAACAGATATTGTCCTCACTGTTAGCCACTGCCTCAGGTTTGGTACCATTGGTAAATTGTGCAATGTTCATTTTATTGCAGCATTCAAATCATTTACATACATCAAAAAAGCAATGGTCCGAGTAATGACTATTGTTAACACCACTGTCATCTTCCAGTCTAATAAATAACCACTGACCATAACTCACTGTTTTCTGTCCATAAGCCAATATTGTTTCAGCCAAATTGATGTAAATCCTCTTATTCAATAAACCTCAGATTTATTAATCAGATTTCTATGCGGTCTGAGAGACTTGATCCTGAGCAGGTAGTTAGAATTCACAAAGGCAACATTCAGAACATTTCCTTCATCAAGTTTATCTATTACCTCATTAAAAAATGTAGGAGTAGAACCAGGCCATTCAACCCATCAAGTCTGCTCCACCATCCAACAAAATCATGGTTGATCTGATAATCATCAACTCCATTTTCTTACCTTGCCTCATAGGAAAAGAGTAGGCCGTTGGGCCCCTCGAGCCTACTCCACCATTCCATAGGATCATGGTTGATCCAACATTCCTTATACCCACTTTCCTCCCCTTTCCCCATAATGCTTGATTCCCCTATTAATCAAGAATCTATCAGCCTTAAATATTCGCAAGGACTCTGTCCCCACAGCCCTTTGTGGCAAGGAGTTCCAAAGACACTCTAACCTCAGCAAAGAAATTCTTCCTCATCTCAGACTTAAATTGGTACCCCTTGATTCTGAGATTATGCCCTCTGGTTCTAAACTCTCCCACGAGGGAAAACATTCTCTCAGCATTCAACCTATAAAGCCCCTTAAGAATCTTATGTGTTTCTCTGAGACCAATTTTTATCCTTCTAAACTCCAGTGAATAAAGTTTAATCTTTGATCATAAGACAATCTATCCATACCAGGGATCATCTTAATAAACCTTCTCTAAACTATATGCAATGAAAAGATGTCTTTCCTTAAACAAGGGAACCAAACCTGCTCACAATACTCCAAATGTGGTCCCACCAGCACCTTGGACAGTTGCAATGAGACTTCCTTACTCTCATACTCCAAATCCCTTGAAATAGGGTCAATGTTCCAATAGCATTCCTGATTACTTGCTGCACCTGTGACTAGCAAGTCCCTTATGTGTTGCAGTTTTCTGCACTATTACTCTACTTAAATAATATTCGTTCTCCCTTCCAAAATGCAACTTGCATTTCCGCCTATTTTTGTGTTTTCAAGAAGTAGAATCCCTATTGTGTGGCAACAGGCCATTCGGCCCAACAAGTCCAACCAACTCTCTGACGAGCATCCCATCCAGACCCAGCTCCCCTCCTACCCTTTCCCTATGGCTAATCCACCTACCTACACATCCCCAGACACTATAGGCAATTTAGCATGGCCAATCTACCTAGCCTGCACATCTTTGGGCTATGGAGGGAATGTGGAGCACCCGGAGGAAACTCGCGCAGACACGGGGAGAATGTGCAAACTCCACACAGACAGTCGCTCAAGGCTGGAATTGAACCCAGGTCCCTGGCACTGTGAGGCGGCGGTGCTAACCACCGAGCCACCGTGCTGCTCCAAATTTATTGTTTGCAAATTTAGCTACATTACGTCCACTTCCTTCCTCCAATTCATTAATAAATATTGTGAACAGTTGCTGTCCCATCACTGATCCCTGTAGAGACCCACCGGTTACAGATTGCCAACCTGAAAAATAACACCCACACACACTATTTCCTGCCCATTAGCCAATTCTCCATCTATGCCAATGTACGATCTTCCACACCATGGTCTCTCATAATATGACTTTATCTTCTGTGAGTATCTTATTGAATGTCTTCTGGAAGTCCAAATGTAACACATCCATTGGTTCCCTTCTATCCACTCTGACTGAGACTTCCTTGGAAAGCTCTAAAGTAGGCAGACATCATATCCCCTTCATGAAACAAGCTGACTCTGCTTGGATTAGATTATGATTTTCCAAATGTGCCATTGTTCTCCTAATATTAGATTCCAGTAATTTTCTAAGAATAGATGTTAGGCTAATTGACCTATTGTTACCTATCTTTTGCCTCCCTCCCTTTTTGAATAGCAGTGTTACATGGCAATTTTTCAAACCTTCAGTACTACTGCAGAATCCAAGGGTTGTTGGATAATTACAAACAACACATCCACTATCTCTGTAGCTACTTCTTTTAGGATCCTAGGACGCAAACTTTCAGGGCCAGGGGACTTATCTGCCGTTTGTCCCAATGATTTGTCTAATACTACTTTTCTAAAGATCGGTGATGGTACTTAATTCCTCCTTGATTCTTTAGTATTAACGAGATGTTTGAATTATCTTCCACCGTGAAGACTGATACAAAATATGTTTGAATACTCTGCCTTTTTTTGTTCTCCATAATAATCTCCCCAGATCAATTTTCTAAGGGGCCTAGGCTCACGTTGACTCTCATACATATTTAAAGAAATTCTTATTGCCAGTTTTTATATTCCTTACTACTCTGTGCTTGTAGTGTAATTTTCTCCCTCTTCATCCTTTGTAGTCCTCCTTTCCTGGATGCTGAATTTATCCCAGTTTTTCAGGCTATCACTGACTTTTGCCTGCTTATGTGATCTTTCTTTAAACTTTATACTTTCCTTAATTTCCTTGGTTCATCACGGTTGAATTGTCCCTCTCTTAGAATCTTTCCTCCTTATTGGTATATATTTTTGCTGAAAGTCATGAATTATCTCCTTAAATATCTGCCACTGCTTGCTATTGGCATTCCTGCTGGTAAGCAAGCAGTGGCAGACATTTGGCAACTCAGTCTCAGCAGTGCTTTATAGTAAAGTATTCGACAGATTCATGACTCCGAGAAAAGAAATTTCTCCTCATCTCTATCTTAAATGTGTGGCCGCACATTCCAAGATTACACCTTGTGGTCCTTGATTCCCCCACAGGGGGAAACAATCTTACCTCTTCTACCCTGTCAAGTCCCGAGGCATCCGCATGTTTCACTAAGAGCTACGTTCTAATAAGCACAGGCCCAATCTACCAACGTCTCCACATAACACAGTCCTTCCATTGCTAGTATCAGCTGAGTGATATTTCTCTGGACTGCCTTCGATCTTTCCTTACATAAAGGGCCCAAAACTGTTCACAGTATTCCAGCTGCAGTCTGACTAGTGCCTTGTACAGTTTAGCAACTTCACTGAGCTTGGAATGGTCAAACATAATCTACCTTTCACAAATCCATGCTAGTTCGCCTGAACCGACTCAAGCCTTTTCAAATGCTCATGATTTTTTTCTGTTTCTAAAACTTTATCACTGCTGTTATACTGACTAGCATATAATTACCTTTCTTGAATAAGGATGTCACATTTGTAACTCTCCAATTGTTTAGCACCTCTCCAGTATCTAGGGAAGGTTTAAAGACTATGGTAAGTCCTTCCACTACCTCCAGCCCCACCTCCCTTAGCAACATGGGATTCAAACCAGTAATCTTAACCACTATTATGACCAGCCTTTCAAGTACATCCTGCCCATCAATTTGCACCTTATCCGCTGCCTTTACTGTTTACCGATATTTTGTTAGCATTCATATCCTTAGTAAAAGACAAATTCAAAATACTGAAGAAGTATTCTAGTCTTTTCTTGCACCTCTTACTGCCTGTTCTTTGTCCTCAATACACCTACCGTGTCTATTATTAACTTATCACGACCCTGGTGAGAACAGAGCCTAAGACTCCTCAAACATACACTTGCAGCAATGCGGCGGCATCTCCAGGTACTACAATCAAGCCTACCCCAGCTCAGAGCCTCCCTCTCCCAGACCTGCAAAGGACCTCTCCTGTTTTTCATTCTTCGCAGGATCCACAACTCGAACTCACGATTCTATTCGGCTTTATTGGACACTAAAAACCGTAAGTGCAGCAAACTTACTGGTGCCTGCCAGCCAACACAGGCCTCTTCCAACCCCCAAATCCCCAACCCTACCCAGGACCTTTCCCACAATGTGCCCACCGCCATTTGCCATGTGGCCACTTCTGGAGCACCCACGGATGACGTCACATCTGCCACCGCCTGGTACGCCACTTCCGGTACAGCGAACGCCATCGACACTGCTGCTGATGCCGCCGCCTCCATTTCCGAGGCCAACACCACAGACATTGAGGATGCCGCCGACGCCGCCAACATCCAAGATTTACCGGCTGACTTCTCTCCGCCCACCGCTGACGCTGACGTCGCTCCATCCACCACCTCCACAGCCAGCAGCTCCAGAGGAGACAATAGCACCCAGCCCTGCCAGGTCTTCACCATCCCCCCAGACCTCCCCCTTATTGAGGACGAATGGTCAGTCCTCAGTAAAGGGCTCACCTTTACCCCCCTCCACCCACACATCAACGAATACAACTCACGCTTGGACATTGAACACTTTTTCCGCCGCCTCCGCCTCCACGCTTACTTTTTTAATCGTGAGCCTAACCCTCCCTCTACTGACCCCTTCTCCCGCCTCCAACACACCCCCTCCTCCTGGACACCATCTCAAGGCCTCCTACCCTCCCTCGACCTCTTCATCTCCAACTGCCGTCACAACATCGATCGCCTCAACCTCTCCACCCTCCTCACCCACTCCAACCTCTCCCCCACAGAACGTGCAGCCCTCCGCTCCAACCCCAACCTCACCATAAAACCTGCGGACAAAGGAGGCGCAGTTGTAGTATGGCGCACTGACCTCTACATCGCCGAGGCCAGGCACCAACTCTCCAACACCTCCTCCTACCGCCCCCTTGATCATGACCCCACCCCCGACCACCAAAACATCATCTCCCAAACCATCCACAACCTCATCATCTCAGGTGACCTCCCACCCAGCGCCTCCAACCTCATCGTTCCCCAACCCCGCACCGCCCATTTCTATCTCCTTCCCAAAATCCACAAACCTGAATGCACTGGTCGACCCATTGTCTCCGCCTGCTCCTGCCCCACCGAACTCATCTCCACTTATCTCGACTCCATCTTCTCCCCCTTGGTCCAGAAACTCCCCACCTACATCTGTGACACCACCCGTGCCCGCCACCTCCTCCAAAACTTCCAATTCCCCGGTCACCAACACCTCATCTTTACCATGGACGTCCAGTTCCTATACACTTGCATTCCCCATGTAGATGGCCTAAAGGTCCTCCGCTTCTTCCTGTCCCGCAGGTCCAACCAGTCCCCCTCCACTGACACCCTCATCCGCTGAGCTGAACTCATCCTCACCCTTAACAACTTCTCCTTCAATTCCTCCCACTTCCTACAGATAAAGGGGGTGGCCATGGGTACCCACATGGGCCAAAGCTATGCCTGCCTCTTCGTAGGATACGTGGAACAATCCCTCTTCTGAAGCTACGCTGGTCCTATCCCCCACCTGTTCCTCCGTTACATCGATGACTGTATCGGCGCCGCCTTGTGCTCCCACGACGAGCTTGAACAGTTCATCCACTTCACTAACACCTTCCACCCCAACCTTAAGTCCACCTGGACCATCTCCGATACCTCTCTCTCCTTCCTGGACCTCTCTGTTTCCATCTCTGGCAAACACCTGGAAACCGATATCCATTTCAAGCCTACCGACTCCCACAGCTACCCAGTGTACACCTCCTCTCATCTACCTTCCTGCAAAAAGGCCGTCCCCTATTCCCAATTCCTTTGCTTCCGCCGCATCTGCTCCCGAGATGAGGCATTCCACTCCCAGATATCCCAGATGTCCTCGTATTTCAAGGACTGCAACTTCCTCTCCACAGTGGTCGAAAACACCCTTGACCGTGTCTCTCGCATTTCCCGCAACTCATCCCTCACACCCCCTCCCCACAATAACAAGCAAAACAGAATCCCCCTCGTCCTCACGTACCGCCCCACCAACCTCCGGATCCAACGCATCATCCTCCGACACTTCCGCCATCTGCAATCCGATTCCACTACCAAAGACATTTTTCCCTCCCCACCCTTATCTGCTTTCCGGAGGGACCACTCTCGCCGTGACTCCCTTGTCTGCTCCACACTCCCCTCCAGCCCCACCACGCCTGGCACTTTTCCCTGCAACCGAAGCAAGTGCTACACCTGCCGCTACACCTTCCCCCTCACCCACATCCCAGGCCCTAATAAGACCTTCCACATCAAACAGATGTTCACCTGCACATCTGCTAATGTGATATACTGTATCCGCTGTTCTCGTTGTGGCCTCCTCTACATCGGGGAAACAAAATGGAGGCTTGGGGACCACTTTGTGGAACACCTACGATCGGTTCGCAACAAACAACTGCACCTCCCAGTCGCGAACCATTTCAACTCCCCCTCCCACTCCTTGAACGACATGTCCATCCTGAGCCTCCTGCAGTGCCACAACGATGTCACCCGAAGGTTGCAGGAACAGCATCTCATATTTCGCTTGGGAACCCTGCAGCCCAATGGTATCAATGCGGACTTCACAAGCTTCAAAATCTCCCATCCCCTGACCGCACCCCAAAACCAGCCCAGCTCGTACCCGCCTCCCTAACCTGTCCTCCCACCTCAAGCCCCACCCCCATCTCCTACTTACTAACCTCATGCCGCCTCCTTGACCTGTCTGTCTCCTCTCCATCTATCTTCTCCTTTATCCATCTTCTGTCCGCCTCCCCCTTTCTCCCTGTTTATTTCAGAATCCCCTTCCCCTCCCCCATTTCTGAAGAAGGCTCTAGACCCGAAACATCAGCTTTCCTGCTCCTCTGATGCTGCTTGGCCTGCTGTGTTCATCCAGCTCTACACCTTGTTATCTCAGAGCACTAGAAATCAAGCTTCACTATTCCACGAATTGTCATGTGTAATTTTTTTTCCAATCATGGGATGTGGGCATTGCTAGGTAGACCAGCATTTATTACCCATCCCTAATTGCCTAGAGGACAGTTAAGAGTCAATCACAATGCTGTGGGTCGTAAGTAGGCCAAACTAGGCTCCTTCAGTTTCACCAGTTTCCTTCCCTGAAGGGCAACAGTCCCATGGTCATGATTAGATCCTGAATTCCACAATTTTTTATTGAATTCAAATACCACTATCTGCCATGATGGGAAGTGAACTCAAGATTGTTACTTGTGTTTTAGGATTAGTAATCTAGTGCTAATACCACTAGGCCACTGCAATTTAATATCTAGGATGGTTAATGCCTGACTGTGACCACTATCTGAGATAAAAGCAACCCACAAGTTTCAAAAGCTTAACTATTATAACAAACTTATCTGCTAACAAATGACAAAAAAAATGTTTAATTACTAACGCAAACTTAAACTATACTCACTTTAAATCCAAACACATGCACACGCAAATACAGAGAAAAAAAGGACAAAAAGGCTGTGGATCAAATTCTAAACCAAAGAAAGATGGGTAACCTTCCTCAGATACCTTTTGCTTGAGGTTTTTGGTGATGATATCATGTTGCTGTTGAACGTCATGACCCTCAATAGGTCAGTTGAACTTGGACCTTGGTTCAAGTTGGCGGTTCTCTTTCTTTTTACAAAATATTGGATTTTGCAAAAAAATCTTGGATTGATGTGAAGGATAGGTGGGCCCACTGAGACCTCCTTTTCCAGCATTTTATCAAGTGAATTGTTGCTGCATCCTGCAATGAACCAATCCATAGACATTCATACCTTCCTCATCAGATGAGGTGCTGTTATCCTTACATTCCTCTTTGACCTCTCGCAGAATCTTTTCGTATCGATTCTGTGCTCGCTTCTCCTCTTCCTTTTGACTCGAAATTGCCTGGTATTTCCTTTTCAGGGTCATGTCAGGGCCACTCTTTCTTGCCAGCTCGAGCAACTCCTGAAAAATGAACCAATCAACAAAAACACTCTGTGGTGTATTTGATGCTACAACAGGGTCAGGTTTTTACACATGTTTAAAGTACCAAACCAAATCAGTTCATTCCTCATTTGAAGTGATGAAACTTTCCAGTGCTGCTACATAAACAGTTTAATGAAGCACTTTGGCAAATACTGCAGTGTCTACAGTTTATTTCAGTATCAATGCCAATTCTCCATGCCCACATTCCTCCTACTACGTCAGTCTCTCCTCTGCCCTCTGGAACAGAAGGATTTAGGAATCAGAGAATCATAGAATCTCTCCAACGTGCAAGCAGGCCAGTCGGCCCATCAAATCCGCACCAACCTTCCAAGGGACATCCCACTCAGACCCAGCCCCCTAATCTATCCCTGTAACCCTGCATTTACCATAGCTAAGCACACCTTTGGATTGTGGGAGGACAATGAAGCAGTCAGAGGAAACCTATGAAAAACCCACATAGACAGTCGCCGGAGGCTGGAATCAAACCCAGGTCCCTGTCGCTGTGAGGCAGCAGTGCTAGCTACTTGTGCTACCGTGCTGCCCTCATCCATGAATTATAAAAGGTTCAGCAGGTACTAGGGAGGGCAAATGGAATGTAGGCATTTATTTCAAAGGGAATGGAGTATATAAGTACAGAGGTTTTGCTAAAACTAGACACGGCAGTAGTCAGACCACAGCTGGGATACTGTGAACAATTTTGGTTACTTTATCTAAAGGAGGGAGGCTACAATGACTTTGGAGGTAGTCCAGAGAAGGTTGACTAGTCTAGGAAGCTTAGGTCAGGTACAGACAGCAGGGATTGAGTGAATCTCTAGAAAAGTATAAAAGCAGTAGGAGTATTCTTAAGAGGGAAATCCGGAGGGCAAAAAGGGGAGATGACTTAGCTTTGGCAAATAGGATTAAGGAGAATCCAAAGGGATTATATAAATACATTAAGGACAAAAGAGTAACATAGGAGAGAACAGGGCCCCTTAAAAATCGGCACGACTGCCAATACGTAGAACCGCAGGAGATTGGGGAGATACTAAACAAGTATTTTGTGTCAGTGTTTACTGTGGAGAAGGATATGGAAGATAGAGAATGTCAGGAAATAAATAGCAACAGCTGAAAGATGTCCATGTTACACAGGTAGTGGTGCCTGATGTCTTAAAACCCATAAAGGTGGGTATCTACACCTAAGGTAGATATACACCTAATCAGGTGTACCCTAGAACTCTGTGGGAAGCCAGGGAAGTGATTCCTGGGCCCCTTGCTGAGGTATTTGTATTATCAATAGCCATAGGTGAGGTGGCGGAAGATTGGAGCTTGGCTAACGTGGTGCCACTATTTAAGAAAGGTGGTAAGAAAAGCCAGGGAACTATTGACCAGTGGTGGCCAAGTTGTTGAACGGAATCCTGAGGGACAGGATTTACATGTATTTGGAAAGGCAAGGACTGATTAGGGATAGTCAACATCGCTTTTGCATGGGAAATCATGTCTCACTAACTTGATTGAATTTTTTGAAAAAGTAATGAAGAGGATTGATCACGGCAGAGCAGTGGACATGATCTATATGGACGTCAGTAAGGCATTTGACAAACTTCCTCATGACAGACTGGTTAACAAGATCAGATCACATGAAATACATGGAAAACTAGCCATTTGGACATGGCACTGGCTCAAGGTAGAAGATAGAGGATGGTGGATGCTTTTCAGGCTGGAGGCCTGTGACCAGTGGTATGCCACAACAATCGGTGCTGGGTCCACTGCTTTTCATCATTTATATAAAAGATTTGGATGTGAAAGTAGGAGGTATGGTCAGTAAGTTTGCAAATGACACCAAAATTGGTGATGTAGTGAACAGTGTAGAAGGTTACCTCAGAGTACAATGGGATCTTGATCAGATGGGACAATGGGCCGAGGAGTGGCAGTTGGAGTATAATTTGGATAAATGTGAGGTGCTGCATTTTGGAAAGGCAAATCAGAGTAGAACTTATAGACTTAATGGTAAGGTGCTGGGGAGTGTTGCTGAACAGAGACCTTGGAGTGCAGGTTCATAGTTCCTTGAAAGTGGAGTCTGTAAATAGACAAAATAGTAAAGGATGCATTTGGTATGCTTGCCTTTTTTGGTCAGTGCATTGAGTATAGGAGTTCGGAGATCATGTTGTGGCTGTACAGGACATTGGTTCGGCCACTATTGGAATACTGTGTGTAATTTTGGTTTACCTACTATAGGAAGGATGTTGCAAATCTTGAAAGGGTTCAGAAAAGATTTACAAGGATGTTGCCAGGGTTGGAGTGTTTGAGTTATAGGGAGAGGCTGAATAGTCCCGATAGCTTAGGAAACTGCGCCTCCTCCACAGTAACACTCAACAGTGCAGCCCCCTAAGGATGCGTCCTCAGCCCTCTACTGTACTCTTTACACCTACAACTATGTTGCCAAATTCTGAACAAACATCATCTACAAGTTCACTAACGACTCCACCATAGTGGAACAGATATCTAACAACGAGTCAAAATACAGAAAGGAGATAGAGGGCTTGGTGATGTGGTGCAATGAAAATAATCTGTCTCTCAACATCAGCAAAACTAAAAAACTGATCATCAACTTCAGAAAGAAAGGAGGAGAACATGGTTCCCATCTATATCAAAGGAACTGAGGTTGAGAGAGTGAAGAGCATCAAGCTCCTCAGAGTGATGATAAGTGACGACCTGTCCTGGACTTCCCACATGAATGATAATAACCGAAGACCTGTCATGGACTTCCTACATAAATGCGACAAGTTAAGAAGGCACAACAACATCTCTTCTTCCTCAAACGGCTCAGGAAATTTTGCATGTCGATAAGGTCCCTCATCAACTTCTCCAGATGCACCAGTGAAAGCATACTGTACGGGTGCATAATGGGCTGGTATGGCAACTGCTATGCCCAGGACCGTAAGAAACTACAGGAGGTGGTGTGCTCACCCCAGACCATCACGGAAGTCAACTTTCCATCTGTAGATTCTATTTACACGGTTCGCTGCCGCTGAAAGGCGACCAACATCAAAGAGCAATTGCACCCTGTTAATTACCTTTTCCGTCAGGCAGAAGGTACAAAAGCCTGAACATACGCGCCGCAGGTTCAGGAACACCTTCTTTCCAGCTGTTATCAGACTATTGAATGGACTCTAAACTCAAATAATGTAAGCTGCAATGTAACCTGTATGCCTCTAAGTCTTTTTAATCTGCACATCCTTTGCTTGCTGTGGATCTGTCTGTACTGCTCGTAAACAAAGCTTTTCATTGTATTTCGGTACACGTGACAATAAAATCAAAATCAAAATTTTCCTTTGAGCGTAAGAGACTGAGGGGTGATCTTATAGAGGGTTATAAAATCATGAGGGACATGGATAGGGCGAATATTCAAGGTTTTTTCCCCAGTGTGAGGGAGTCCAAAACTAAAGGGCATAGGTTTAGCATGAGAGGATAAAGATTTAAAAGGGGTGTAATGGGCAACCTTTTCATGCAGAGGGTACTGTGTGTATGGAATGAGCTGTCAGAGGAAGTGGCGGAGGCTGGTAAAATTACAACATTTAAAAGGCATCTGGAAAGGTATATGAATAGGAAGGGTTTAGAGGGATATGGGCCAAATACTGGCAAATGGGACTAATTTACGATATCTGATCGGCATGGACGAGTCAGACTGAAGGTTCTGTTTTCATGCTGTACAGCTCTATGAGTCTATGATATTATGCCCCATGTATGGAGGCACGGTCTTATGAAGAAACATTGTGTAGATTGTGTTTGTAGTCATTGTGATAATAGAAGAATGAAACATCTAAGATTCTTGAAACATAAGATTTTTAGGGAACTTGATAGGGTAAATGAAGAAAAGTGTTTTTCCCTTGTGGGACAGCCTAGGACCAGAGGGCATAATCTCAAAATGAGTTCACACATTTAATACAGAGGAGGAACTTCTTCTGTCAGTGGGTCATGAATCTGTGGAATTCGTACACGCAAAGAACTGTTGAGGCTGGGTCATAAAGTACACTCAAGGCTGAGACAGATTTTTCATCAGTAAGGGAATCAACGGTTGCGGGGGCGGGAAAGGTAGGAAAATGGTGTGGAGGATTCTTAGATCAATCATGATTTCATTGAATGGTGCAGCAGTTTCGTTGGAATAAATGGTCTACTTCTGCTCCTAACTAAATCTCTCTACACTTAAAATTATCAATGTGTAAATATAACTTAACATCAAAATATTTTAACCCTACAGGGTTCAGACAGGTGTGATAGAAAACTACACACTCATTAGTCAGTGATCAGACAAGTTTAAGAATTAAAACTCTCAGCAGACATAGTTAAATTAATAGAACTATACATTGACACTAGGCAACTGACACTGATGCAAATTCTTGCTAGGCACAAGCCAGTACCAACAGACAGGGGAGAGCACCAATTCAATGAACCAGCCATACCCTGCTACACGCTGCTCTAAAATGTCATCACAATTATTCTGGGGTCATCTCATTTAGTCTGCTTCAGCATTACTGTTTCCTTATTTACCATGAAGCGGGGCTCTTCAACATTTCAAATGTTACAAATTTTACAATTGATCCCTTGAAATAACTGATTTACAAACCATCTCACTTCTCCTCCCACCACCCGACTGCCTGTAGTTTTGCTCATACCTTTCTGGAGACAAGGATCTGTTTCAGCAGTTTGTGGAAGTATTGCTGTTGGGAGTACAGGTACCGCTTATACTGTGACTTCATACACAGCTTTCTGTACTTGACCACCTCTGGGTTAAAGTAGCCATCTGTAGACAGAAGACAATCACCAGCAACATCAAAAGTCCAAATAAAGTACCAAATAAAATGCCCTTCTTCCCAACAAAGCTCAACCTACTTTTCTAATTCAATTCCTTCTCATAAAATGATAGTGTACAAAATTTCAAAGATCCAACCTGTCTTCCATACATTTGTGCTCTTTAGTAAAGCAGGATGACTTTGTTATCTAACTGTACTCTCTTTGAATGCTAAAGCAAATGCAGGGATTTACCTCGGAAGAGCTTCTGAGCAATGTATAGAGGATTCCCAAAGCGGAAGCGATCTCCGTTGAAGAGCCCTGTAACGATGTCATCCTGTTGCTCCAGGTTTTTCTCAGTAAACTGTGGAAGAAATTTCCTCAAGTGATCCCTCTGGGACTGAGACAGAACTTCATCCCAGGTGCTGCGACTCACCACCTCAAAGAAGATATCAGGCTGTGAAGACAAAGATTTAATTCACAATCGATACAGGTTGTGCCACAATAAAAAATACATTCAGATTTCCTGCAAAACACTTCTTTAAAATACTGTCAGTGAATTTCTGTCAGACGGACTACATGTTCACTGTTCCATCTAATGCCAGTCTCAGTCAAGTCAAATTCATAAACGGGTGAAATTGGTTAAAGATGGTTAAAGTTCTCCCATCCATCCCCTCCCTGTCAAATGAAACACCGCATACATTTCTGTTTTCCACATCAGCAATTCTCTGCAAATAGATCTGGAGCTGTATACCGGAAACTCAAAATGATTCGGTGCTAAAAATGACAGTGAAGGATGAGAATCTCAAACACTATCTGCCCAGTGAGTTCCAGTGTTACTAGTGATGCCACATTACTTCATATTCATAGCATTGCAACTTACTGAATGCTCCATGCCCAGTTGACACTCAGTTTTCACATGAAAGCAGCAACTCAGAAATTCACATTCTCGGCTTTATAACATCATAAAGGAAGAGCCTCAGGGGACCAATATGTTTATGATTTCCAAATCACTCCATGAAGGAATCAAACCATTTATTCGGTTACCCTCACAATTGAGTTAGCACAGAGTTCTGGGCTGTCCACTCATACCAGTTTAGGAATCTGATCATAGTTGTACAAAAATTTTGAGAGGAATGAGTTCATTGCTTAACATGGGAATGAACAGAGGGAATTACAGACAAAGATTTCCAAAGAGAAGGGAATGTACGACAGGTTTTAAAAGAAGTTGATGTCATTAAATGAGCTGCAGGAGTAGCAGCCCTGACTTTGAGAAACTGTGTCAAGTAGTGAAGGATAAATCACCATAGTCCTATCAGACCACAGGGCTGCTCTCACATTTGAGAGAGGGGTGTCTGGTGGTGGTTTAATCTGAGGGTCACCGCACCTCAGGCAAGAGGAGTGGTTGAAAAGGACAGTCCTTTATGGTAACCCCAATCAGTACAGGAATTGAACCTACGCTCTTGGCACCACTCTACATCGCAAACCAGCCACCCAGTCAACTGAGATAAACCAACCCCCAGTGTCAAATCATATAGTTTAATCAAGTGGAAAAAAATTGAGATCTTG